TATATCAGGTTATTTTGAAAATGGTCCTATACAAAAATATTTTTTTACATACATATTTTGAAGATAATCAGCTTAACAAGATTTTGCTTTTATATTGCGCAGATCATTTCGGCAATTTTTGGAGGGATAAATGATCTTCCATTTCACGTTGTTGGATATGCATGGCAAATTATAAACTGCTTCTTAACTGCATCATATTCTGTGAATATATAATGATGTTATGGCTTTATTTCATTAGTCATAGTTTTGTGGGCTTGTCTTATTAGTTTGAGCTATTTTCTCTTCTGTATTGGAAAATAGAAATCATTGCTTTAGCTTCCTATTTGCTAGTCGATATCTCATTCCAATGAAAATTTACTTAACAACACAATGGTACTACAAGTTTCAAAATTATAGTAGAAAATATTTTAGTTAAGCAACTTGAATTAGAGGTGTATACAATTTTTGTTTCAGAAGTACAATCCAAGGAATGCCTTTAATTAAGCCTACATGACTTAATTTGGTAGAAAAGGGCCAACTTGTGTGAATTTTTTTGATGCTAAAAAATGTTTTGTGCTTTATTAAATACAATCTCTACTAGCCAGCATCTTTTTTTTTGTAAATCTATTATTGATGTTTCAAGCTTCATTTGGAATCTACAATAGCAATAGAAAAGCCTACTTCCTGTACAAATAAAAGTAAAGTATCTAATTGCGAAGATAGGATTAAATATCTCTATACAGACATATTGTATGTTAATAATGGATTAGCCTTTTTGCCTCAATTATAGTGTTCTAGAATTTTTTTTTATATAGATCTTGAATTTCTTTGGTATCTATTTCAAAATAATGTACTATGAGATTAAATAAAAAAACAACACTCGGTAATAAAGGAAATGTCTTGTTAATATATCATTACTAGTATTTTCTTGCATATTGAGTGCAAAATATCATGTGCATTAGAGTTTCTCAGTATGGTCAGCATAAAAAACCATGAGTGTAAGTAAGATCAGGAGCTTGGGTTAGAGTAAGCTAATGAATATTTCTTAGTGAAGCTTCTTTTAGCCGAAAATGCATATAGAGTAATGCTAACGTTATAGTTGAGATTTGAGATGTTTTAGACATCCATCTGTCATATTTATTGGGTTCTAATGTCTCTAATTATTTTGATTCACTAGGGTTTTTGCAGAAGTTCCAATTGGGTTCAAATGAGTACTGTAAATTTCTCAAACACGTGATTTGCAGAAACTAACATTGCAGAAACTATAAATTTTTCAAACACGTCATAGCAATTAATAGAAAGCAACATACTATGCAAAAACTAACATTGTCATAGCAATTAATAGAAAACACCATGATTCATCAAAATAAGCAAGAAAATTCTAACAAGTTTTTCCCACCTAAGAGCCACTTGGAATCGACGATAAAAATGGAAGAAACAAGGCTGGAACTTTAGGGATTACCCAAAATGCAAGAAATGAGATTGAAGCTTCATAGAAACTGAAAAAAAGGAGAGGAAAATTGATCAAAAAATAAGAACCAGATTAGAAAAGAAAGGAATCAGCAGAAAATGCGAAAAAACGAGTGGATTCTGGTAGGGCGTCGGAAGAGGAAAGAAAAGCGAAAATGGCAAAAAGGGAGTTTGGCGCTTGAAATTTAGAGAAAATTTAATGACATTTTTTTGAAGAAACTCCATTAGCTTCTTGCCAGTAAAAATGCCACGAAATCTATAAAAATCAAGGCATATAGTGGCTTTTTTAATTAAAACATCATTTAAAAAAAAAAAAAAAAGAATATGGTGCGTTTCTTTGAAAGAAAATTATATATTTTTTTTAATAAAAAAATTAATTTTATTTGGTGATTTAGTCGACCAACGTCATAAAAAAAAATATAATTGTAGTGGTTTTTCTAAATGTAAATGTCACTATATAAAAATTACACTGCTAACTTTATAAAAACACAAAAATATATGACATTTATTAGTGAAAGCTACTAAAATATTACCACTAAATGATTATTCTCCTGCAGTGTTATGGACAAGTTTTGTATTCATATTTGATACTGCTTGTTTGATAAAAGGTTAAATATAAAAATAAGCTATGTACTATCTATTTATTGTTAGTTTGGTATGTAAAAAAATAAAATTTGCAATTAGATACATAATCTTTTATTTTGTCACACATCATGGTATTTTAAATTGGTGTTGTTAGTCAAATTACTAATATGGTATCAATACTCAATAAAATTATGACACGTGTCAATAAGTTCAATATTATTATATCATCATTGCAACGTTAACATTACAAGAAAATTTTAAAGATTAAAAAAATCTTAAAAAATCATATAAAATTTTAGAAATTCAAAAAATATGAAAAATTAAAATATCCCAAAATTTAAAAAATCCAAAATTTAGAAAAATTCAAGAAAAATATGAAAATTACAAAAAAATTACAAAAATTTTGAAAAAAGGAAAAATATGAAAAATTCAAAATTCAAAAAGAATTTTCAAAAAATTGAAAAATTAAAAAATATATATAAAATAATAAAAATTTAAAAATTTTAAAAAAATCCCAAAAACTCAAAAAAAATGAAAGTTTTAAAATTTCCTTAAAAAGTTTTAAAAAATATGAAAAATTAAAAAAAATCTATAAAATTTCAAAAATAAAAAATAAAAAAATTCCTAAAAAGTTACAAAAATCTAAAATATTTTTAAAATGCCCAAAGTTTTTAAAAATTCGGAAGCTTTTTATAAAACAAATCCTCAAAGGAGAAAATATCTAAACAATTAAAACAAACATATTCTTAAAAATCCAAAAATCTGATAAATTAAAAAATCCTTAAAATTTCAAAACAAAACCAGAAAAGATTTCCAAAAATCTAAAAAAAATCTGAAAAAGTTTTAAAAAATTCCAACAAATTGATAAAGAAAGAAAAAATGTAAAAATTTAAAAATTAAAATTAAAGTACATGAAATACAAAAATATTGAAACAAATCGATAGGGCCAAACTTTATTTTTTATTTTTATATATTGGTTTTGTTTGAAATCATTTTTAGATTTTAAAATTTTTTAAAATTTTCAATTTTTCTCATTTGTCCTTTTTTTTTTTCTAATTTTTAGTTTTTTGAAAATTTTTTGGATCTATCTCTAAATTTTTTTTTTAAAATTTTTTTTAGAATGTTTATAATTTTCATTTTTTTATTTCTTAGGGTTTTTTAATTTTTCATATTGATTTTCAATTTTGTAGGTTATTTATTTATTTTTTTTGGAATTTTTAAAATTTTCATATTTTTTTCATTTTGTTGAAATTTTTTATTTTTTAATTTTTCATATTTTTTGACTTTTTTTTATAAATTTTTACTTTCTAAAAATGTTTCATATGTTTTTAATTTTTTCAATTTTAGTGAAATTCTCACTAGACTTGACGAGAATGAACTTGTAAAATCTCTAGCAAGAATAGAAATAAAGTTTTCAAATAGTTCTAAAAAAGTTTGTTCAAAGAGTTAATTGCCTGACCCAAGACCTAACATGGTTAAAGTAATTGAGTAGACAATAATCCATATTCAAAGTTAAACCAAAATATTAAGTGATAAAAAGATAATGATTATATCGAGAAACTAAGTAGAGATAGACCGGTCAATCCTCATTAAACTTTTTTAACAATTGGATGATTATGACTCTTTGCTAGGTGGCAATCATGATTTATAAAATATAAGATTATTTAAATAGAGAATTAATGAGCTTAATAGGTTTGATTCATCTAATCTAAATCAATTGAGAATTATAAAACTTACATTTATTATCAACATGTTAAAAAATTTAACAGATCATATATATAAACCGTTGTTTATGATAGATTAAATTAGGTTAAATTATGTTTGACTTAATAAAAAAAGTTAGAAATTTCAAAAACTAAACCTCCAAGGGGAATGGTTAAAAGCCCAAAACCTTTTGCAATAAGACTTGGCTGAACATCCCACTGTTTAAAGAAGGCGTGGCCACCCTCTCCTTATGCAATTCATTCAATATCATAAAAATCTATTTTATTGTTCATGTTATTTCTAAGTTTTCATTGTAAATATTTTTTTTAGTAAGATATACCTAATTTATAAGTAAAAATTTTAGTTTAATTGAAAAAATTTTCATTAAACGAATTTATTTGATAATAAATAAAAAAATTGTTAGTTTACAATGAAATACTTTATTTTCAAAGTTTTAATTTTTCATTGGTCTTAAACATAAAAAAAGTTTATGTTAATCTTATTTAGTTTTTGTACATAAAATAAATCTTACATGTTAATGCAAAATTTGATTAATATGTGTTATTAATTTTGTTTATTTTATAAAATATATAATTTTTATAGGTAAATAAGTTTACGCACGTAACAACAAATACTATCTATAATCTATAATATGTATAAAATTATAGATATAGGAAAACTTTTAAACTACTAAAATATGTAATTTTGTTCATTTTAATTTTAATTTTAATTATTTTATATTATAGATATTAATAATATTTATTTAAATTATAAATAAGAACTCTAATTTCATTAAAAAATGGGATCATTAAATGATTTTATTGGATTAATAAATTTATCCAATTCAAAAGCAACAATTTTAATTCACTTTAAATTTTAAATCCGTATCAATATATAGCTTAATACAAGTTTTTATTAATATATAATTTTCAATTATTTCTACACAATTTATATAATTAACTATGCGTTTTATATATAATTAATATTATTTTAAAATAAAAAAAAATTCGTCTGCAACACAGGTGATTTATTAATTAAAAAACTAATTTGGAGAAAAACTCGGAAGTAGGCAGAATATATTCAGTCACTGTCCATAATCCACATGAAAATGTGTACATTTTGTATTGTTTTAATTAAATCATACGAGGAAAAATGCAAAACAATCTCATCCTTGGACAGTATAAAGAAGCCATGCAAATATATTACAGCTGGATACAATATGTCTTTCTACTAATTAAGAAACAAGTTCCCCATTTCCACTGCTAGAAACTACTTGCCTTGAAACCAACTGTGGTGGCGGGAGGAATCCCCTGTTCATTTTTGAAAACGTTGTTTGGATCAATCAGTGTCTTGGCTTTAACCAACCTATCGTAGTTGTTCAAGAAGTACTTTTCACCCCAAGCTCTAGCTACCTCGACGGCATCTTCAGATGGGGTACTAGCATTAATTAATTCCATAACTCCAAGGTCAAAGTCCATGTAATTTATATAAGCTGCCCTTGGACCCCTTGAAACATGGCCTGCCATTGCATCATAGAGTCCTCTTATCCATTCTATATAGTCATTGCTTTTGTTTTTATCTTGATCCTGCCACTCCACTAGGTATTGTATTGTATACAAATTACCTTTTCTGTGAGGGAAAGGAATTGACTCGCTGCTTATCTCGTTCATCATGCCACCATAAGGATCCAACACTACATACCCTTTGGGTTCCTTTTCAAGTATGTTCAGGGCAGACCCTATACCCGTTGGAGATATTGGGCTCCTAACGTAGTCTGATTTGGCCTTGAAATAATGCTTGTCCTTCACATACCTGTTCTTGAGGTCGGACATTGTGGCCCCATCGCCTAGGCCAGAGAAGTATAACACTGATTCGATCCAACTCATTTCCTTGCAATCTTGTTCCGCAACACCCAATTCGGGAAACATCCGACGTAGGATTGAAAGAGCTTCTCTTCTTGGACCTAGGAAGAAGCCGTTAAATGTTGCTGACAAGCCTATAGCCTTTGTTTCTGGTAGGCCAGCACCCACAAAGCATGATAAATAAATGTCGCCTTCTAAGTAGGGAGCAACGTGTTGCCACTTGTTTACTAACTTGGCTACATGGGCTTTCGTGCCAGGTCTAGACACAATGAAGCTGGTTACAGTCTTTGGTACTTTCAACAACTGGATTTTCCATGCGTAAATGATTCCCCATACGCCGCCGCCACCCCCTCTAATTGCCCAGAAAACTTCTTCTCCCATTGCTTGCCTGTCTAATAATTCACCATCTGCGTTGAGGAGGAGAGCATCGATCACATTATCAGCTGCTAAACCATATTTCCTTGATAAAAACCCAAAGCCACCACCGCTAATATGGCCTCCAGCCCCCACTGTTGGACAGGATCCAGCAGAGAAGCCATGAATGCTACTTGACTCAGCAATAGCGTGGTATGTCTCACCAAGAGTTGCACCACCTTCAACCCACGCTGTTTCGGTTTCCAAATCCACCGAAGCATGGTTCAGATTCATCATGTCTATGATCACAAATGGAGCTCCATCACTGCCTACCGACGAAGTACCCTCATAGCTATGACCACCGCACCTTACTCTAATCTCCCATGGCCCTTCAGAACAACACAAGACAGTACTGATAAGCTGCTCCTTACTCTCCGGCAAGATAATAGCTATGGGCTTAGGAATGGTGGGTTCAGCAAAGCGAAGATTTTGAATGGAAAAATTGAGAAGGTTATAGTAGAGTGAAGAGTAGTGATGATTTTGTACGTTGAAGAAGGTGGTGTAGTTGGTTATATTATGATGGTTAAGACAAGAGGCAATAATTCTCTGACCAGAGGTTGCTGAGCCTGAGGCTGAGACTGAGAGAGATGGGTAAAGGAAGGATATGGTTAGGAGGAATAGTAGAGAATGGCAGTTCAAGTTCACCATGGCTGTTAACTTGGGGATCCAGAAAGAGCTGTTGTGGATTTTATTGGAAAAGTGGAGAATCATACTGTACGTTGACGACAAAGCGATGGAGAAAGCAAGGTGGAATACTATCGGGGCCGGCAATTCTTTTTCTACTCATGAGAAACTTTTCTCATTCATATTTCTTTAATGCTATCAACTCAAAAGCTAGCAACCAAATATATGGTGACAAAACTGATTACTTGTATAGTTCCATTTCAACTAATTCAGAAGTACATCATGCCAACATTGAATTCAACCACTTTCTCAAATCCCACATGCACCATTCACACTTTCTTTTTGGGATTTTTTTTAATAAGATCAAGGTATGGTTTTGATTTTTTTAAATTCCTAATTTACTCTTTAAATTTTTTATCCTTAAATTTACATTATAGAAAAAAAATATTATATGCATAAGTTTCTTCGAATCCAAATCTTTACACATCCTCGAAAATTAATCCAAATGTCAATAGTTAAAAACCAACTGTTCCAAATTAATTGACACATCACACTCAAGATTTCGTTATCAAAATGTTCTTCCGAAAGAATTGAATTTGATAAAAAAAAAGTTCATTTTTACCAGTTAATTGGACTCACCATTACCATTATAAGTAATGTCTTCACTAGGTTTGAAGTGGCTTTCAATTATTTCATGAGACAAAAAGATTAGTTTGAGAGATAGTTCTCTGTTTGTGGCCCAGCATTATATAAACACATCATTAGATAAAATAATAGATAAAGCTATATTATAGTAATGCCGGCCAAGTAGAAAATACGAGGGCGACACCCCATTTTTGTTCTCTTGTTTTAATTTGTACTAGTGAAACGTAATATATATATATTCCCATCTGTCTTTCCATCAGTTGTTAATTTATTTGGATGAGTTGGCCAAATGTGCACCATAATAATGAGCATACAAGGCAAATAAGTAAAGTTAACATTAAGGTTTTTAACTTACTTACAATGAAATTAAAATCAAAATTAAAACTTTAGTATGATTTAAATAAAAATTAATGAAGGATTCACAAAACTTTTTTATATTAAACCAAATGAGGTCATTTAAAAAAAATTATGATCAAAAGCCTAAATAAGATTGTTTCATGATAAGTTCAAAACACATCACTTTCAACACTTATTGTTGTCTTATTGTAGTTACTAGTGTGTATTCAATTTATTCATAAAACCATTTAATACTTGCATTCATGGTGTATAATTTAATGAGAGTGATCTATTTATATCAATGTAAAATTTATTAATTTTATATTTTTTTAAATTATTGATTTCAATAAATTCAAATAATGAGATTAAATCAATTTATTTATTTATTTATTTCTCATTTTTTAAATCTATTAAAATTAATGGTTAAAAATGTATAAAACTGAAAAAGTTTTATACTGATATAAATTGATTTTGCTCCTAATTTTATATATAAATATATATAGGTTTTTTACCTGCCTTGTGATCGGTTATGCAAATGAATTTTACCTTTTTCAATAAAACTTCATACTTAATTTAGGTTCATTAAAATTACAGATTTTCGTTTGCCAATAGAGGTTTACGGTTGGAGAGTTCAGTTAAGAATAAAAGGTATTAGCACCTTCCATTAAAAAAAAAAACTGTATAAATTAATCACGCGCACACTCCTTTTAAGATCTGATGTAGCAATCCTTTATTTCTATATTAATTTCCTCTTTGATGACTTTTATTTTATTTATTTGAATTTTTTTTAATTATTTTGATTTTTAAATTTGGGGACTTTGAAAAAGGCCTTCCCAACATTTTAATAAAGATTTTTTAAAAAATTGTATTAAAAATACTATTTTCTTGAAAAATACTATTTTAATATTTGAATATAATTTTTTTCTTTTACTCATTCTTGATTTCTTTTTTTTTTCCTTTTCACTTTTTTTCTATAAATATTGAAGAATTTCCAAAGGCCTTATCAACGCTTTTGATGACCTGAGTAAATTTTCCTCATTTTTAAGAGAAATAAATAAAATTATTTATTTTCCTGAAAGGCTTCATTACCAAATTAATCTGATGTTCTATGAAATGAATTTATTATTATTATTATTATTATTTAGTTTTTTAGATTTTTATCTTTATATCTTCCATTTTACCTTTGACTTTAATATCTTTCTTAAAATTTTATTATTGTTTTCTAATTCTTATTGTATGTGGTAGTATCCTAATTTTTATCATTTCATGAAATAAAAAATATAAAGATAAAAGAAAAAAAACAAATGTCTCACTTTATTTAGACCATCGGAATGTAAATGTTTGTGAAGCAAACAATAAAAATGTAGTCTTCCATTTTTTATATTATTTCATACTTCTATATGTCCTTTATGATCATTTGAAATTATTTTATAGATACATTGTAAGAGATTTTAGGGTGCTTTCCAACACGTACGCAAAACCTACCAAATTATTTTTCACCATAGAAATATTTCCTAAAATATATCACTAAGATTTCTAAAATTTTCCATGATTTGAAGGATTTAAAAACAATCATTTTTTTATTTTGTTTTTTACGCCATTCTTTTCAACTCTTTTTCTCATTTATTTTTTAAAATTATATTTATAGTAAAATTGAATTAAAATATAAATTTGCATAATTTTTGTAATTTTTTTCTAACATTTACAAAATTAAATATAAATATTGATGATAAATTCTCTTTCTACAGATGTAAATAATAACGTTTGACCAACAGTTTGTGAACAAGCTCAATTTTTGTTCATTTATATTTATTTATTAAAATTAACAAACAATCATAAACAACATTGAAGTTCATTTATTAAACAAACAGATCATGAATATAATAAAGTTCATTCATATTCGATTCGTTTATAACATAAAAGTATAAATGAAGGAAATTTTTTACGAACAGTTCGTGAATTAGCAAAAGATTTTGATTTAATGCCAAGAAAAGGAAAGAATCAAAAGGGCAAGATTCTATAATATGAAATCTTAAACCGAAAGATGATTTTCTAAAAAACTTTAAACAAAATTTCCTAAACAAAATTTTCTAAATAAAATTGTAAACTTATTCTTAAATAATAACCATAGTTGAATGATTTTACACAATAAACAAGGAAACTTTAATGAACAATCAAGTGAAACAATAACAAAGATTAAAGCTTCACAAATCAAAAGCATTAGCATACATTGCAATAATTAAATCATGATCTAAATTAACAAAATTCATAAGTACATCCTAATTAAATAAAATAAATTACTACTTTAAACAATAATGTATTAGCAAGGAAAAAATGACAACAATTCATTTGAAAAAATTAAAATAAAGAAAAAAATGAAATAACAAACATTCATTGAATGAGCAAAAGGGATCAATGCATCATAGAGATGCTTGCCATACTGTTACAAGGGGATCTTGGGATCATTGATGAGGTTGAAAACACGATTTTAGATATGATTTTAGTAAAATCTAATCTTAGAGAAGTGCAGAATAAGCCAAAAGGATTCCAAAGTCATTAGAAGAAAATCAATGTCGACAAGTGGTGGTTGGTAGCAGTGTATGATGGTTGATTGTCAAATTTGGAAAAAGATTGTTGGATTCTGCATTTTGTTTAAGCTTTAGAGGTGAGAGAGAAAGAAAGTAAATCTTTCAAAAGATTAAAGAATATAAATAAATTTCATTTGAGAAACTTGTCATATTCTATTAACCACTAAATTTAATCAAACTGATAGGAGAAATGAAAAGTCACAAAGTGATATCATATTAATTTCAATCTTTTAGATACTCCATTTATTAATGATTTGAAAATAAATATTTGCAAAGAAAAAAGTACACAATTTAATTTTATTTAAAAATAATAAAATATGATTAACCTTTCATAATTTTTATATTAATAATTGTTTATGATTATTGTAAATGGTTTTTTTCAACTTGAAATGGCATATTGGTTTTATAATTATTTATTTTTTGGTATGATTTATGAATTTTGATCAACTTGATCATTTAATCTATATATAAATTCATTGAGGTAAAAGAAAATAAAATGTTTGGAAGGCTTACCAGAAGGTCTAAAGCAAAAGAATTACTATTAGAAAAATGTTTTGTTTAGGATTATTAATTGTGATGCTATTGATAATAATATATGTGAAACATTTAATGGAGTGATATTAGAAGCTAAGTGCAAACCAATCATTAACATGCTTGAAAATTTAGAATGTATGTGATGAAGAGGCTGGAGAAAAAAAAAAGAGTATGTAAGTAAGTGGAAAATCGATTATGAACTAAAAGTTCTTTAAAAACTTAAAAAAATCAAGGATACTTTGTGCAAAGTGAGAGGTTGAATGAAATGGATGTGGCAGACAGGAAGTTTATTGTAATAATTTGGTAAAACAAAAAAATGAGAGTTATATTGTAATGTTACAACAACACTTATGCACAAGTAAAAAGTGAAACATAAGTGGATTCCCTTGTCAGCATGCTATGAATGCACTTATGTACAATGGGACAAACACTCTTTATTATTTGCCATCATGGTTAAACAAAGAAAAATATTTATCTGCATATAAGTACATGTTAAACTCAGTGAGGAAAAAATGTTTTGGCCAAAAGAAAAAAAGAAGCAGTGCTGCCCCTTTGGTGAAAAAAATGCTTAGTAGGTCTTCCAAGAAAAAAAAAAGAACCATTTGAAGGAAAGAACAAAGGCAAACTTTTAGAGCTGAAAGGCAACGACATGCTACAATATATTATTGTAAAGAGAGCCATAATAGGCTAGGATTTCCATGGAAAGTAGAATTTGTAAGCATTCTACCTTGTTTCTAAATATATTTATCATTCTTATTACAAAATACAAACATATATATATACCAATATTTATTTTCTTTATTATCAATGTTATTAACCTTAGATTATCCTTATTTTTAAATAACAAAATATTAAGCTAAATAGCTTGATTAAGTATTTTGAGAGTTTATTTAATGTAAGCTTTTCAAGTGAACAATATTG